GCTGCCCAGGGAAGTGATGTGGTCACCAGCCCTGGACCTGTTTATAAGGTGGTGTAGATGTGGCACTGAGGGACAAGGTTCAGTGGTGGGCTTGGCAGTGTTAGGTTTGTGGTTGGACTTGATGACCTACTTGGAAGTCTCTTCCAACATAAATGATTTTATGATTGTAACAGCCACAATCACTTGCAAGCTCTGAGGTGAACAGGAGCAAAGACCTACTGAATACGAGGATTACCACAAAAATTTCCACAATCACACTAGCCGCGGGCAAATGCTGGATTTAAGGTGGCTGGGCATATGGCTGTCTTTGAAGGTGGGTGGTGAGCTTGTACAACAGGTTTCCCTACATGAGGCATTTCCATTCATTCTCCCAAAGCCTCCAATGCTGCTGCTGCCAGAGATAATGCTCTGGACAAGAAGGACAGCTGGTGCTGCTTCTCCATCCCTCGGTGTATCACCTCCTTTTACCTCCTCTATTTCTTCATTCCTTCTCAAAGTCTTGAAAGGTGCTGAGGAACAGAAACTACAAAGCTAGAAACAGCATTCCAGCCAGCTCCCAAATGTTGCAAAGCTTCACCTGGCAGGTTCTTGTGACCACCCTCCTGCCTGTGGTGCTTGAGCTGTACAGCAGGAACATGTGGCCCCAGCAGCCAGAACCAGTGCCACAGCTTGCATACAGAACTCCCCCTGCAATGCTAACAAGCAGAGAGCAGCAGTGTTAAATACCTGGGTGTGAAAGCAGAAATCTTTCTCTGTGCGTTCAGGCCTCAAGAGAACATTTTTCCGACATTTTTAAGTAAATGTCAGAAAACTTTTCCTACTGAGATAAAAACAATAAAAATAAAAGGATTGTGGCCTATGACACTCATATCTTACACCTTCAGGCATTCTGTTCCTCTGCCTGTCATTTTCATATATACATATATTAAAAGCCTGCCACTTTCTACATATAAAAATATTATAGTGGGCACTAGTGAAAACCACTGTATTTTAGTGCACAAAAAAATTTACATGAGGGTACCAATTTGATTTTTCCCACTTATAGTTCCTCAGAGTATTACATTTAGGGGTCAAGATATTGATACATGTTTTCTATATGAAAGTTAAGGGATAGACAAGACTGCTTTCTTCAAAGGAAAATTAATTCATCTCTTTTTCCATACATGAATGAATAAACTCTTTTCTCTGTTATTTGCAAGTATTTCATACTTTTGCAGACAGCTACTCTGTTTGCTTGAGTTGGAGATTTTATTTTTAAACAAAAGCAAATTTGGTTTTTAGGGATGCAACAAGTTAAACCTGCATACTGAGGACAGACAAGGAGTTTCCTCATCTCTTCTTGATAAGTATCTATAAGAAGAGCACTATAACATGCTCAAGTAGGAGCTGGAGCAATACTGAACTAGTACCAGCTCAGGAAGGGTGCAGCAAAAGGCTTTTAAGGGCTCTCAGGCAACATTATTGGGGTCTCCTTCTCTTTCTTTTGTTTCACTAGTAGCATCAGGATTTACAGAGGTTTTTGTTGAAATGTAAAGAGAGGCTTGAGGGAGCACCAAAGCAAAGCCAGCCACTACTGTTTCAGTAGCCCTCCACTGCTAAACTTCCTGCACGGCTCTGGAGAATCCTTCAGATGGCACTGACCTGCTCCCGAGGCACGGGGGACCTGGTGCCACCCGTGCACTGGGGAGCCCTGCTCAAGCACAGCCGGCTCCTGCCAGCTCTGGGAACGTTGTTGGGGTGTAGCAGTTGTAACCACACTCAGCACTACAGAACTGTAAATGAGCAGCAGGGTTTGGGGCCCGAGATAGCAGTGACTGTGTGGGACAGACCATGTAGGACCATGCAGTGCTGCAGTTCTGCGTGTTTCTGGGAGTGACTAGCACTGCTGAGGCAATACGTGCCCAAAGAGTAGGGTAATAATTAAAAAAGAAAAATCCGCTCTACAAAAGTCAGCAACTCCTTCTGCTCCCCCAGAATGTCATGTTTCCGCCTGTCTGTTTTATCTCCTTTACCATCCCCACTGACAGGGTCTGGGTTGACTCCTTCCTCTCCTCTTGGACTCTAAGATTCTCACCACTGATACAGCAAAAGTGTGCTGTTTCCAGAGACCCTCTGTGAGCTGAAGGAGATGGCCATCCTTGAAAACTCAGAAGTATTTCTAGGTGGGAAGTGCACTGGGTATGCCAGTGTGGAAGATGAGCCTTCTGTATGCTCATAATCTACTTATGACTGCTTATCTATTAATGAATAAGGCCTCGGGAAGTCAGTTTTAAAACAACAGCAAAATTGATAGCTAGGAGAAATGCAAAAGAAAGTGAATTTTGAAAAGCACTTAGCATTGACTTCTAATGAGTACATTGATTTCCAACACCATTTCCAGTTAAATAGCTGTGATATAAGAAATAGGCCATAAATATAGAGAAGCTCTAATACTAAATCATAAGTACCTCATACCCCAGTCTTCAGACCAAGGCTGGGGCATGTGAGTAAATATTTGGAAAATTTTTTAGGATTCATCTTGAGGCACAATTGTGTTTTCTCACAATTTGGCTGCTAAGGCAGCCAGAAATGCTGGCTCTTAAAAGTTTGCAGGCACATCAGAAAAATCCTGGTGTTCAAACAAAACTGCCTGAGAATGCTGGTCATCCTAGATGGCAAAAGGCAGGAAGCTGGAAGGTAAAAATGGTAATACACAGAAAACAAAGTCAGTAAGTAGTGAAATAATTTTAAAAGGTCAGTAGTGTTGGAAGCAGACATCGAAAGGGAGAAAAAAAAATCTAAATAAATGTAAATCCATTCAGTCTTGCCTCCTACAAGTCATTAAATATTTCCCAGCAGTGCTGTGCTAGCTGGTCTGTGTACTTGGGCTTGGAGGAGCATTTGTGCCTGCTCACACCACTGTGGGAAGGCAAATGGCCCTGAGCCAGGGATTTCCAAATGGCAGCATCTTGCCAGCCTCTCACAGTGCTGCCAGCCACTGCTTTTTTTGCCTTCAGCTAAACTGGAGTGGTGGTTTAGGTTGTTTTTTTTTTTCCCAGTGTTCCTTGGCTCTGAAATTAATTCCTTTGGGATATGAAAGTGCCAAGATGCACTGACCTCTATCTTGCACTTTCCGCTTGGGTTGGTTTTGTGGTGTATTGCCAAGGTGGTGCCTAGAAAGGCTCAGGATAGCCCAGAGCAAGGGGTTCTGGCTAATTTTAGGGAGGGAGGAATTGTGTCAGTTGGATAGGTTTGTGTTTTCAGGGCATTAGCTCGATTTTAAACACTTAAAGGATCTGTTAAGGCACCTGAACCATCAAGACTGGGCTGAAAGCACTTACCTAAGGTCACACCATTGACAGAAGCAGGTAGAAATAAAGACTGTGATGGATCTCACCATTCTTAGAGGCTGTGTGTGGGGACAGGGCATGCAGGATGCAGGATGCAGTGCAGAGGAGCCTGCTCCAAAATTCACCTCCATCAGCATCCACACTTCCAATGCAGGGGACAGTGGTGGCCAACTTACTCTTGCTTCTGTGGGTTTCTCCTTCATGCAGATACTGATGGGTGGGACATTTAAAATAATTTGAAAATTATTACATTAATAAATATGTGTGGGTTTTTTTCTGTCTGAAACAGTTTTGTTCAGCATTTTCAGGCTTTCTCTAATAGCTGGAATAAGCTGATTATCTCTTTGCCTTGATTTATGTATCTTTACTGGGGTTGCATGTGGAGGAAAAGGAAATGTGGATGAAACAGTGGATGCATACTAGTTTTGGCTGGGAGTTAGTTGTCTTCACAGTAGCTGGTATGGGGCTGCATTTTGGGTTAGTGCTGGAAAGGGTCTTGATAGCACAGGAATGTTTTTGTTATTCCTGAGCAGAGCTTGCACAGAGTTAAGCTCTTTCCTGCTCCTCACTCCACCCCACCAGCGAGGAGGTGAGGGGTACACAAAGATCTGGGAGGGGACACAGCTGGGACAGCTGACCCCAAATGACCCAGGGGATATCCCACACCAAAGGGTGGCAGTGTTGGCACCTAAAGCAGAGGGAAGAAGCAGTGTGGGAGATGTCTGGAGTTATGACATTTGTCTACCCAAGTAGGGAGTCCTGCTTTCCTGGGTATGGCTGAACTTCCCGTGGGAAGTGGTGAATGAGTTCCTTGTTCTGGCGTCCTTGCATGCACAGTTTTTGCTTTCCCTATTAATTTGTATTTATCCCGACCCACGAGTTGTCTCACTTTTACCCATCCAATTCTATAGCCAATCCCGACAGGGGTCAAGAGTAAGTTAAACATCTGCAAAACCAGACATATACCTATTTTTCCTCTTCTAGGAAAAAATAGGAAGAAATATATAAAGAAGAAAGGAAAAAATCTCCTAGGAAAATGGGGGAAAGAATGGATGTTTTCTATCCCTTCAGGCAAAGGCTGAAAGAATTTTAAAAAACCCCATAGCAGCAAGTACACTGAACGGCTTTCTCCAGTCATTTTTATCTGTAAGAGGAACTCTGAGGGTGGTCCCCCTCAGGTGCTGCCGCTGTGTCAGATCCTCTGCTGGAGCAAGATGCATATAGCATTCATGTATGGATGCATATAGCATCCATATGTGCTTTGGAGTCCACAGGACAGCCTCTGAGAGGAATCTGGGTGGGACAGAGAAAAGGGGGCCAGGTAACAAGTCGCAGTGTGAATTCAGCTGTTGCCCATGAAAAGCATGGCTGAGAATCTAATTCTAGGTGTTACTTTGCAACACTGGTGAAATATCTTTTCTATGATGAAAAGAAGCAGCCTCTCTAGCCTGGCAGTGACAGCCTCACGGTTACAGATGTACATGGACAAGGGGATAGGGCCAGCATGAGCACAGCGGGACCAGCAATGGGGAAAGGAGCCAAAACATCTCCCTGGTGGCCAAAGCAGCCTCTGGCAGGTTAATTGTTAGCCACGGTGTACACTCATGTTGGGCACACAGGGCCCCTCCCGCTATTTGCCATCCTCGGCAAGCAAACACACCCTGTGCCAAATCCATCCCCAGCGCGTGGAATTGCATCCGGGTGGAGCAGCACCTGGCCGTGGAAAGGACATTTCAAGAGGATGCTGAAGCTGAATGCGGCGTGTTAAAGGGGAAGAGCAGGGTCGGTGAGCCCAAAAGCCGGGGAGGGAGGATGCAATTGCTCTATTGAGGCCACATCAGCGAGACAGGCGAGCGTAAACAGCCGCGGAGGAAAATGAAGGCAGAGCATTGAAAGCCGGTGCGCATTTTCGAGGCAGAGCGAGAGACATCTACCGGCTCCCGCATCCCCGCCGCCAGGGCCCCCTCCCACTAATTACAGCACGGTTTCCTCTCCTTTCAGCTGACAGCCGGGGAGCGCAATTAGCGTCTCATAAACCCCGAAAAGTCAGCAATGCGAGAGCGGGCTGAACAATAAACACGGTGGGCTGGGGCGGGGCGGGCAGTGCCGGGGCGGGCAGTGCCGGGGCTAAACGGAGCGCGGAGCGCCGCTGTCACCGCGGCCCGCCCCGGGCGCCCAGCGCCGCTGTCACCGCGGCCCGCCCCGGGCGCGGAGCGCCGCTGTCACCGCGGCCAGCCCCGGGCGCGGAGCGCCGCTGTCACCGCGGCGTGCCCCGGGCGCGGAGCTCCGCTGTCACCGCGGCCCGCCCCGGGCACGGAGCGCCGCTGTCACCGCGGCCCGCCCCGGGCGCGCCGGCAGCCCGCCGCAGACAGACAGCTCGAATTAATCCCGGGAGGCGCGCGTGACAGGCGAGCCAGGCAGACAATTAGAGTGAAGGAGGAAATTGGAAATGGCAAAGGTGTGAACATATGTCAAATTACAACTAAATGATAAATTACGATTCTGTCATTGAAATAAGCGGTAATTAAGAAAGATTTCAGCTAGCCCTCTTGGAGGAAAGAGAAGAGGAAGAGGAGCAAACAGATTTTTCTTCTCTTCCTCCCCCCTTCCCACCCCCCACCCCCCCCATTTTATTTTATTTATTAATAATATAGTTTGGGTGTGCTGGCTGTATTGTTTCCATCCATCGCATATACTGGGGCTGGTTCGTCCTCTTTCTGAATGCGTTCGTGTACTTAAAATATAATACCTTGCTTCCCCCTCCCCCCTCCCCATCCCCCTGCCTGGCAGAGTGATGGTGTCAGAAATGAGCAGGGAGCTGATAGCAACTGATAAAAACCCATATGGAGGGATTAAAAAAAAAAAAAAAAAAGCCCACCCCGACCCTCCCCGGTCTGTTTAAGCCGCTGCACTCTAATTATTTTAAACAAGCCTGGCGCAGCACAGCTGACAATTAGGAAACCCTGCTTGCAGGCCCGGGGGATTCATGTGAGCTCTCATCATCATTGCCGGCTCCACGTCCTTCCCATTTTGGCACCGCGACGGAGATTTGAACCAGTCAGGGAATCGCAGCTTTGGAAGGCACAATCCCAGCCCAATTCAGGAGCCGCGGTACCTGAGGTCCCCCTGGCCCCTGGGCACATCCACTATGAATTTTTTTTCAGCAATGGGATTTCTGTGGAACACGACTGCTATTCCCCAGCTGGTGTTATCTGCTGAGAGGCTGCGCCAGCAGTTGACACTGCTTCTCCCCACAGAGGGGGAAAGCGCGCCTGGGTAATGATGAATGTTTAGCTTCATGGTAGCACATTTGTCATGTGAAATTAAAATAATATTGTGTAAACAGCACCTTTCAGCTAAGGAGCTGGAGGTGCTGTGCAAATACAAATGGGGATGGGGGGGCTAGATATCAACTATAAGCATAGGTAGACTTTGTACCTCAACAGGACCTGTTTCTACATAACAGAGTTGTTGCAGAAATTTATCTATTGACAATAATTGTTTAAAATACACTAAAGCCAGTTTAGCGTACAAATCAATATTAAATCTCTACAAAGCGATCAGCTCCCTTTGCGTTTCATTACATCTATTAGGTTTAATTAATCTGCAAATGGAGTGACATAAAGATTTTTTTAAAAAAAGCAAGATAGGCTAATTACAGGTCAAAGGCTTTTTATATGCACCCTTATCATCCCTTACGTGTGCATGTCCATTATACAAAAGCGGGCAGGAGATGGCCTATGGATACATTTGCACATTGATGAGCTGGCTTTGAAATGCAAGGTTTTGCACCAGCCCTCCCTGCTTAAACAGGAGAGGAGAAGGAATAAAATAATTCAAAGTGTTAAATGCTTCCGCGTGCTTTCCTGACAGCAAGGTTGGCGCTAGTGACCATCATGGGGGATAAATCATTTTGCAGCCACTGCAGCCAGAAAGTTCAGATCCTGGAGAGCTTAATTAGGAAGCATGTTAAAAGTGAAAGGGTGAGAGTCATGTTAATTATGTGGGGTTTCTCTTGGAGCAAACCCAGGCAGCAGCAGTGCTGTAAGGCTAAGGGAGCATCATGTTGTTCCCTGAATTAATCAATCCACGTTACTGGTATGACACAAATGCTTATACAAAACCCCATCCAAATGCAATGGCAAACTGCAGGTGGAAGCTTGGATTTGATTGTGCTTGATTACTGTGACATAACCATATGTTTTTGGAGCAGCTCCATGCTCCAAAGAGTATTTCAGACACCAAGTGGGGTGTTGCAAGAACTCTCTTGTGCTGGCATGAATATGCAGCCTGAAGGTTTTGACCAGACTCTGTGGAGTGTTGGGATTTTTTTCTTCCACTAAAAAACACTGAAATTAAAGACTCTTGGTTATCACATGCAAGAGAACTTTCAAATATGAAGTCCCAAAGGCTTTATAGATTAGAAACCCAGTAAATTTTTCTGCTTTGTCCTCTTGATGAGGGCTTAAATCTTATAAAAATCCTAATTGCAGGGTACATACACGTAATGTCTACATTCCTGCCTCAAAATTAATGATGATGATGATAATAGTAATAATAAAGTTTTGCTTGAGTAATCCCTTAGTGATGATAATTAGGATAATGGTGAAACTTAAGCTGCGAAGACGTAACTGCTGCTCTCTGAAGCCCTTTAGCTCCCCCACTTCAGCCCTCTGGAATCATCATTGCCCTCCAGAAAACATGAACTTCTGGAATACTCTTTGTCAGGATGACCTGTTTCCAGACATATGCCTCCAAACTTGTGTGATCTACCAGCAATTTTTCCATTGGGAAGCCATCCAGCAGACTACCAGGAGAGGGCACAGACTGGTTTCCCATAGGACCCTCTCTGGAGTTCAAAGGGGTGCAGTTCCCCCTCACAGGTTCAGACATTGTTGTGCTCAAACAGCAAGTGGAGAGTTTGTACATGGAGGCTTCTTCTGTAGTGGAGAAGCCCAAATGAGCGCTTGTAATAGCCAGGATGTGTGCTTGTCAAATCTCTACCAAATCTCTTCTGGTGACAAAGATCACATCTGCATGTTTTTCCTACACATTCTTGATTCGGGCCAAAAAAATGGGGGTTTTTTCCTTACTCCTCTGTGGGCTTGTTCCCCCAATCCCCTGTCCTATTAGTATTACTTACTACTCAAAAATTTTCATAAATCACAGTTTTCAGCTTTGATACTAGTCTATCAAAATCTGAGGTGCAATCAATAAAGTCTTACTAAGCAGTCCTTATAAATCATGTATTAGAGCAATTCACGAAGGAGGTCTGAAATACCTCATATTTTCCATAATATTAAGTGTAAAAGAAAATAGAGAAACCAGTAATATCAGCAAGGAAATGGTGGATTTGACTGGTGAACAGTCCTGGTCTCTTCATCTCCCTTTCTCCATCTACTGACTCCCATATGACTGAAGTATAGGACGGTCAGCCTGCACTTTTGTTTCAAAAATACCACATGGAAACTGCCCTAGAGCTGATGCCATTTCCAAGATTTTCACTTGGTTTTTGTTTTACAGGACTCAAAATCCAAAATTCTGCTGAGACATATCAACACGCTGGGAATGCCTGGAACAGGTATCTGGAAAGAAGCTCTGCAGACATTTCCACAAGAAACAAATTCTCCCAGTGGGTTTACTGAATTAACCCCACTGATATCCAATATAATGTCACTGATCCTGAGATAAAAAATATATAAAAATGCAGCACTGACTTTGCCTACACTCTGTTTGATGTGGGGGAAAGAATAGGAAGCAGGCAGGATTTTATGCGTGTACTGGCCTGGTAGATGTTATTAAAATGCATCATCACCATCATCAGCTGTCATTAGCCACTCCAAGCACTGAGTTATGGCAGGGAAAGCAGAGATTGTATGTGCAACAAGGGGGGAAACAGCATTTAAGGCCAGGAAAGTATTTGGCACTGACAGTAGTCTGAAATCGTTTGGCATGAGAATATCACCCATTACATGGATGTGTCGCGTATGTTCAACACTTTTGTGGCTACAGGTCTGTGACTGGCTGTGATTGTCACACATGGAAAATGGATTTGCAGGAAAGATGGCCTGTGACAAATATTATATAATCATTCACCATTTGAGGCAGTTCCTTGCAGCTTCAAAGAAACAAAGATAAGTGCAACACACTAGTAATTCAGGCTATTTTGAGAATCACTGAAGATATGTTCCAAAATTAACTGCATATAAGGTAAAAAAGAAACTGCAGAAATAAGCAGATGAGTTATAGTTTGCACAATATTTTTACCATGTTTAAAAAAGCAAAATAAATTGTCATTATAAACACTTTATCTTGACAATCTGGAAAACCATTACCAAAGATTTTCCACCCTGACAAGAGCCCAACATTACAAGCTTAAAGAATCTTGTATTAGACCACCGCTGCTTTTAGCATTTTAGAAAATCAGGTTTAGCTTCCATTTGAGATTAAAAGAATATGAAACTAGTAGTTTTTACTCCTGCATGCACATTAAATCATGTTCTAATAAAAGCAGCTGACTGCAACAAAGTGTATTCAGACTACTACAACCTCCTTCATGCTATGTTTATTTTAGAGATGGGAAACAGGCAGGATCATATAAAGTTTGCAAATATCTGGTTCTGCATATATGTTTGAATTCATGAAAATGACAGGCTAACCTGGAATATTGTTTCATGGATTATTTTCCTCCCTGTACTTCCTCATCCATCCACACCTTCATGAAACCTCCTGTGATAGCAGCCCCCTAACTTGTACTGTGTCTCTCCACTCAGGCTGTTCTGGCCCTGAGTCAGATTGCTGTCGACAGCTGCCGAAAATTGATTTATCTCCCCGCCAGGGATGCTGGTGATGACCAAAACATCGGAGTAATTTAAGATTTGTGGTCGTCTGTATAAATAGATTCCTTCCCCCCTTATTTTACAAGCCAAAGTAATGCTTCAGTCTATCTTCCTCCCACCGGCGTTCTTTGAACTTCATTTCATAGCCATAATGCTATGGTAGCAAAAAACATCTGAAAGGGATACAGCAATTCGCAGCAAATTAAAAAAGTGTGTCCCAGAGTCTAGGCAAATTTTACAGTCAGCAAACGAGTATGGAGAATCACCGACTAATCATAGCCTTGATTCAGCAAATATTTGGCAGGTATCCTGACGTGCCCCACACGCCCAGAATAAAATAGGACAGAGAAAAAAACTGAAGGAGGAGATAAGACAGGAGTTGTAGTGGTGTGGAGGAAGCAAGGGCCTCATGCACCATTTTTTCGAGAGGGAAGGTGGGTGCTGCAGACTAACAGCATCCTGTTGTGTGTCCATCACTGCAGTGTTCAGCAGCAGCAGCAGCACCTCCAGCCCTGCTCTCCCCTCACACCCAAAGTGAGCTTTGCAGCCATGGGCCCAAAGCTGTTGTGTGGGACCTGAGGACATCCTCAGGCATGGCCATGTCCTACCCTCAGGCACCATTCACAAACTACAGCGGCACAGAGGAAGCCTGCTCTGCTCCAGCTGGGTCCACTCCACCAGGGAGACCGGCACGGACCTGAGCATGGAGAAATTCCTGCTGGGGCAGTTGCATCGGCATGAGCCGATGGGAAAAAGTGATGGAAGACCCTGTGGGACACCCCACTGTGGCTCCAAGCTCATTGCTGCAGCCCTGGGCACACACTCCCAACCCCCTGGAAGCCCTGAAGGAAGGCTTGCTTGGGTCCTTCAGAACCACACACAGAGCCCAGCACGTGGCATTCTTTCCCTCCCATGAGCCTGCAGGCACTACACCAACACAGACACCAAGGAGTGATGAAAGCATCCCGAGGAGCAGGCTCATCCATGACATTTCCACTTCTCAAACTCACAGGCAAAAGGGACTATCATTATCCACTCCTAACGAGGCCCTTAATGATGATCCTGTTGCTCGGTGACTGGCGCATTACCGACAGGTGCATATAACAACACACAGCCAGAGCTGCTTATAAATCCGTGACCTATTCCAGCTTAGACTTGCTGAGGACCTGACCCAAAATATTTATTCCCTCGTGGAAAACAGATACTTCAGGTCTCCTAATGGTCTCCAGTGTTCCTGGCTGACCCAGTTTGGAGCCTGAGCTACACTCAGCCCTATTTCAGCACTGAACTAGTTCCTTCAGAAATGGTTTCCTTTAAAACTGCCTCCACCAAATGACACACTCTGAAAATGTTTAGATTTTTTTTTTTTTTTAAAATTTACTGTTGCAAGCAAAGAATATAATGAATATTAGTTCACTATTAGCAGTAAATTATAGTGCTATTTTATTTTAATAAATTAACTTTGAACTACAATAAACAGCACCATTAAAGCTTCTGATCTCACCAATGACTCTTCTAAAGTACTAGATAGAAAGATCAGTTTTTTTTTTTTTTTTTTTTTTTTTTTTTGAGAAAGAGAGAAAGAGAAAGCAAGTGGAACTAATCAGAAAATATATACCGGGTAAACTGAAATGTGCATTATGTAACATCAATAGAGTTCCTAATTAATTCAGATTCATTCAGATTTTACAGCCCTTTTCAGAATCACCATTTTTGTTCCGACAGAGGGGAGGAACTATAAGATAATACAAAAATACATGTGACCACAGCTCCTGAGCATATTAATGAAGAGAAATGTAGAAAAGGCAGGATTTTTTCAGAAGAGCAGAATAGCATCTGCAGTGATAGATGCAGGGTACAGCAAAATAGGTCAGTAAAGGGAAATGAATGATATAAAGCTGTATCTATAAAAATGGATGTATTGATGAAAAGTGATTTTAAAATGAAGGCTCAGATACAAATCATTAGTCCCATGGCCAAGACTAATATGTATTCCGCGGTAATAAGCGATGTCATTACAAGTGAATAACAATGCTGTAATGGGCAAGGAGCCTTGCTGGGGGAGGGGACTTATTATCAAGCAGTTAGGAAACCTTTTCTCAATTGCTCACTTAGCTTTAGTCGCCTCAGGTGCTGGCAGGGGCAATTTCCAAAACACAGTGGCAATGCCTAGGAAGACAAGGAGGAAATTCAACATTTGGAGTGGTAATGGGGATGCCTCTGCAGGACTGGCCTACTGAAATCTGGGAGGATGTAACCGTGTTGGGTGATCTTTGGAAGCAAAAGAAATCACCCTACTCTTAGCTAGGTGACTAGAAAGGACGGCTGAGGACTTGAGGACAGAGTGAGTGGGCAAACCTCCGGCTGCATCCCCCTCCGCATTCCCGATGGGCCCTTGCGTGCACTGCCAAAGCCTGGCTTGCCCGCACCAACAACCTCCCCTGCTTTAAGCACCTCTGCATACCAGCAGGCAGGCATGGCACACAGACCCTCCAGATTCCCTCCTCTGCTCCATGTCCCCATGTTCCAGTGCCCTCCAGCCCAGACCCAGCTGGTGCCGTCCTGCTGGATCGGCAGCTGCGGCTGTGGGGGAATGGATGTGCAGTGCTGAGCTGATACCAGCTGAGCAATATATGCAGCACCGTCAGGAGCATTACTCATAGCTGATGAACACATACCTTTCCCAGTGAAACACATACATTCCAGAAAGAAATGCATAGATCATTTGCTGAAGCACATTTATTATAGCGAAATGTGTACCTCAACTAATGAAACACATAGATCATATAGTAAAATGATTATGCTCACATCTAGCAGGCTCAACCATTTATTTATTTTTAACCAACTTATTTTGGTTAGGAGGCTGAGCAGGGCCCTCCCCTTCCCAGGGATTAGCAGCCCAAACCCCATTTTTGTCTTCAGAAGTGTATTTATTTTCCCATAATACAAACCCAGGTTTCCATCCCAAGCTCACTGAAAAATAAATTAGAGTGGAACCCTCTCTTACAAGAGCTGAGAATCCAAGCTGAAGACAGTTTTGCTATTGAAGATGGATTTTACTACTGAGTATTAGTGGATACTGTATCTGGTGTGCCTGCTAATTAAAAATTATATCTGTGTACTACAAAACATTTTAGGCATTCTCCCTTAAATGTTAGTTTTGCTGCCCACTTGAGACATCTTCTGCATCCTTATTAACATCTTCAGCCAGAAATAGGTTGAGTCAGTGCCCCTCCAGGGTCGGCCATAAACCAGCCATTCCCAGTACATAAATTCAGTTGGCTCCAGCTCATGCCCCGAGGAATGAAACAGGTCAAACACTTTGTTTACAACTAAGGAATCCCCTGGTATACATGTGCCACCCATATCCCCAGCTCAGCAATGCTGGGAATGGATGTAAATCCCAGAGTCACGCTACAGCACTGACATCAATGACACATTGACTGACTGGGAAAATACCCAGCACCCTGACCCATTCCATTATGTGGAATCCCGACAGCAGCCAAAGGACAGCCGGACTCTTTCTTGATGGCTGGCTTGATTAACAACAAAGCTGTGCTTTGAAAAATATAAATGAGAGGTTTCTATTTTATTGGACTGGCCTTTCCTCTGCTGAATTGTATCTGTTTGAAAAGCCAATCTAGGGGAGGGGGGCAAAAAAGCAAATTGCTTTTTGGAGGGAGCAAGGAAGGAAAAATAGACCAATAAAAGCAAAAACCAGCAGAAGATCAGGTATGAAATGACTGCACTCAATATCCTTTCCCCTTTCTTCCCCTGAACACCATTGGTTTCCAATTGTAGAGCATATCGATTTGAATTTTTTTTCATGTTAACTTTTAATTGCCTTGCTACAGCTGCCAGGCAGTGCCTTGCTGAG